TTGAATAGTTTCCAATGCTCTATCTATCTTACTTGATTGTTCCTGTAGCGCTTTCCTGACTTATTTTTCTCAACTCCATTGTAAAGTGTTTTGATACATTTTATAATCATTTTTCTGAATTCCTTCTCAGACATTTCCAAAGCCTGCCCATCTTCCATTATGGAGTGTAGGTCTACCTTCAGATCATTTGTCTCGGTCACTTTATCTCATTTCTGGACACGTGCTGATATGGTCATCTGCTTCTGCTTTTTGGGCATCAGTAGTTAGCTGTGGCCTTAATACTTAAATGGGTGTTGTGTTTTGGGATGTTTTTTATGCTTTCTGATTGCCTCTAGGTAGATGTGATCAAGAGATGGGCTTTCCTTTTCACTCTTCTTCTTGAGAAATTTCAAAATGCCACTGCTGGTCGTTATGACATAATTCAGGATTTAATTTTCAGCCTGTTTCCTTTTTAGTCTGCCTGTCCCACTCCACAACCCCTATTCTGGCCTTTTTCCTAGTGATAAACAATTCAGGGTTCAGCTGTGGCCATTTTGTGCTACCATTTGGTTTTAAGTGGAAACTGTCTCTTTAAATTTTGAGGAGATTTGTGTGTATGCATACATAATAGAACTGTCCAGGGGTAGGGTGACCACTCACTCTGAAACCCCCTTCTAGTCACCAGAATGGAGGTGCACAGCCAGCGAGAGACCAAAGAATGTCCTTTATCTCCGTGGTTCTGTCAGGTGTCCATGAATGCTCTGATCCTTACCCCACTCGGTCTCGCCCAAGATGGCCACTCAGAGCAGCTGAGCACCTTAGATTAGAAAGCATTGGGTTTGTTGCTTCTGCTACAAATTCCACTGGCTGTAAGCCTTCCAGCTTTCTAAATATTCCTTTATATGTGGTTCAGAGTTCTGGGACCATCCCCTAAGCCTGCTTGGTCCAGTATTCTGTGTAATTGCTAATGGCGGAGCTCCTCACTGCACTTCTACCCTAGCCACCATCTTGTTTGTTCCTGGACTTGTTTTTTTGGTTTCTGGTTTTTATACCTGTGGCTATAAAACCCATTTGGGAATGGGTTTTCTTTGTTATACGAATGAGGTCATATTAGACTAGGGTGTGTCTTAAGTAGATCCATTTTGAAGATACAAAAGGAGCGTACTAAATGGAAGCTCAGACGGCAGTAGATCCACAGCACACCACAAGATCATCAAGGAACCAAGCTACTGCTTAGAAACTGGAAAAAGACAAGGTCCTTCTCCCAGAGCCCACAGAGACAGCCTTCCCCTGGAGACAGCACCCTGAATTCCACATCCTTGCCCCTAAACTTTGAGACGATACCTTTCTGTTTGTTAAAACCACCCCAACCATTTGTGGTACCTGTGTTATAGGAGCACTAGAAAACTAGGGGACTTCATCTGTGTGGCTTTTCTGCGCTTTTATATCTCAAAAGACATTGACTCAGGACCCACCCTACACTAGTATGGCCACATTAATGTAACAAAGAAACACTATTCCCAGGTGGGTTTATGACCACAGTCTTAGTGGTCAGGGATCACAGCACATTTTTGGGGGGTACACAATTCAATTCATCCCAGAGACTGTGGTCAGGAGAGGACTCTGAGTTTGTACAATAGCCCCTGACCCCATCCAAGCTAGAAACATGAGCGAATGCCAAGTCGTTTTATCAGATATCAAGTTCAGCAGATATGAGTTTAAATTCTGCCTTTGTCATTGAGTGCCATTGTCCTTGAACAATTTCATCTCTTGGCTGCTGCTGTTGTTAAGTGATGTCCAGTCGATTCTGACTTGACAGGGTTTCTAAGGAGCAGCTGGTGGGTTTGAACTGTTGACCTTGTGGCTCAAAGTGCTGATCATACAGCGCCACACCAAGAGTGCAATTCCATCTCTTAGAGACATTACTTTTTTCTTCTGGATGCTGTGAGAATTCTGTGAGATGATAACAGACATTAAGTATTTGGCCCAATGCCTGTATTAATTAATTATAGTAGAAATGTTGTTAAGTGCCTTCAAGTCATTTCTGACTCATAGTGACCCAGAATAGAGTTTCCAAGGACCAGCTGGTGAGCTTGAACCACTGACCTTGCAGTCTTGTGTTTATCCTACAGCGCCACACCAGGACTCCACAGTAGTACAGTTAAGCTTTTTCTGAGTCTTTACTATGTGCCCAGGGTACTCTACTACTGTACCACCTAGTCACCAAGTCAATTCTAACTGAGAGTGACCCTGCAGGACAGAATAGAACTGCCCACAGGGTTTCCAAGCTTGTAATCTTTACAGAAACAGACTGCCACATCCTTCTTCTGGGGAGCGGCTGGTGGATTCCAACCACAGACCTTACATTGAGAAGGCAAGGGCTTAATCACTGCGCACCAAAGCGTTATCTCTTCTACTTCACACGTAGGATCTAGTCCCATCCTCACAAGCACCACATGATGTAAGAACTCTTATACTCATCTCTCAGAGGAGGAAACGGAAGCAAAGAGAAGTGAAGGCACTTGTCCAAGCAAAACACAGCTGAAATGTACTGTGAGGACTTGTACCTCACACCATACATACACACAGAGGGATCCAGTCCAGATGAATTACAAATCTGAGTATGAAAGTTTGTCAAAAAAACTTGAGACTAACTTTATGAATTCAGAATAGGCAAAGATTTCTTAAAAGAAGTCAAAAGAGTGCTAACCAGCTTATATTTAAATGAAGACACCATTAAGAAAAGAAAAACAACTCAAGAGTGTGGGGAAAATAGTTTCAATGCATAAATCTACGAAGGACTCAAATCCAGGATCTACAAAGATCTCCTATATATCAAGAAGAAGTCCCGGTGTGGCACTGTGGGTTAATGCGCCAGACTGCAGAGCCATTTCAACTCTAAGATCAGTGGTTCAAGCTCACCAGTTGCTCCTCGGAAACCCTAAACAGGATCACTATAGGTTGGAACCAACTCAACAGCACTTAACAACAACAACAACAATACATCAAGAAAGGTTAGCAACCCAAGAGACAAATGGAGTAAGACTTACACAGACAATTCAAAAAAGAGGGTCTCACAATGGTTAATAAGTACATGAAAACGTAAAGTTCTTAATCACAGGGCAATCCCTAATGCAAACTGATACGCTATGCCACTCCTCACCCATGAGAAAAGCTAAAATGAAAAAGATTAACAATGTCATGAGGTGGTGACAATAGGGAATACACCTCTGCTTCCTTAACATAACACCACTGTGCAAAACTGTTTGGTTGGGGGACCAGCAAGAGAGAAGAGCAGAGTGCGGGACCCTTTCCAGAGAAGCAGTGACGCCAGAGATGGAGGCAGAGATGATGACATGGAGAGACTGGAACAGCTGGGGATTCTGGACTCAGGTAGGGAGAAGGTCTGTGTGCTGACAGCCGGGGGGCAGGCTTGCAGGGTGTACCCTATGGCTCTTTGATGATGCATGGAGGAGACTATAATCATTGCAATGACACGAAATACGATAGGATGAATGTAAAGCTAATGTTCTCCCAAGTAAACTATCACTTAATTCACAATAAAAACTTAAAAAGAAAACTGTTTGGTGGTATCTCCTGAGGTACAGTCAGAACGCTCCTTAGATGGCCAGACTGCCTCTCTCATACTTTGAACGTATTATCAAGAGGGAGCAATCCCTAGAGAAGGGCATCATGTTTGGTAGAGGGTCAACAAAAAAGAGGAAGACCCCCAACAAGATGGATTAGCACAGTGGCAGCAGCAGTAGACTCAAGCGTAGCCAAGATTGTGAGGTTGGCACAAGACTATGCAGTGTTTTCTTCTGTTGTGCATAAGGTCATTATGAGTCAGAACCAACTTGATGACACCTAACAACTGAAGTTAAGACCCTAAGTGGTGCAAACATTAAGTGCTCAGCTACTAATCAGAGGGTTGGCAGTTCAAATCTACCCAGAGGTACCGCAGAGGAAAGGTCTAGCAATGTACTTCTGAGAGCTCACCGCCACTGAACATGCAATGGAGCACAGTTGTATGATGAAGCACACTGGGTCACCAGGAGTCAGAATCCACTTCATGGCAACCGGTTTGGTTTGCTAAAGCAAAATATATACGCAAGTCTGATGGCCCAGCAAATACACTCCTGGATATTTACACGAGATACATAACAGAAATACGAGGGGGCTTCAAAAAGTTTGTGGGAAAATGTCATTATCTTTTCATTCCATTTTTTTTCACAAAGGACACCAAATGGCACGTACTAGAATGTTCATACTGCGCCGTTCACCCAAAACCAAACCCAACCTACTGCTGTCGAGTTTGACTTAGGGATCCTATGGGACAGAGCAAAAACTGCTCGTTAGGGTTTCCAGACGATCCTCTTTATGGAAGCAGACTGCCTCATCTTTCTCCCAAGGTGCGGTTGGAGACTTTGAACCTCTGACCTTTTCATTAACACTTCAACAGTTAACCTACTGTGCCACAGGGCTCCTATAGTGGGTCAGGAGATCTTCCCCTTAATCACTCTGGGTTATAAAAAGACCCAAACAGACACCAACGCACACAGGAGGAAACCAGACAAAATTTGCTTGAGGGCTGTCTACAAGCAAAGGAACGGCAAGGACTGACATTAACACAGCCAAGATCTTGCTTTGGACTTTGAGCCTCCAGAACTGTGAGAAAATTCTTTTCTGTTCCTTAAAGCCACCCATGGGTGGTAGTTTGTTCTGTTGGCAGTAACAACTGCCTTAGTTCTCAGGCCTGCTGTAACAGAAGGCCCGCCCCCCGCGGGTGGCTTTCACATACCGCAATGTCATCTCTCACGGTTTAGAAGGCTGGAAGTCTGAAGTCAGGGTGCCTGTTCTAGGGGAAGGCTAGCAGTTGGTTCTGAGGAAAGATCCTTGTCACTTTGAGTTTCTGTTCCTGGGCCATCTTCATATGACCTGGTACCTCTCTTCCCTCAGATCTGTTTGTTCATTTGGCTGCTTGCTCAATCTGTTCTTTTTCTATCTCAAAAGAGATTGAACTAAATTACACCCTATGTTAACACTGTCCCACGGACAATGGGGAGGTACAGCCAGAATAGTCCTTAGCAGTGAGGAGAGCACGGCTTTGTCTGATGTATTTTGGACATGTGCTCAGAAGGGACCAGTGCCTGGAGAACAATATTATGCTTGGTAAAGGAGAGGGTCAGAAAAAAGGAGGAAGACCAAGGAGACAGATTGACACAGTGGCTGCAACAATGAGCTCAAAGAGCCAAGACTTGAGAATGGTGCAGGACCAGGCCATACATGGGGTCATCAACTGGAGCCAACTGGACGGCACCTAACAACGGTTCAAACCCACCAGCCGCTACGTGCAAGGAAAATGAGGCTGTACAGATTTAGTCTCAGACAACCCTACGGAGCAGTTCCTCTCTGTCCTATCGGGTCACTGTGAGTCAGAATGGACATGATGGCAGTGGGTTTAACAACAGGGCTTATGTTTTTTGGGAAGGACACGATTCAATCCCTAACAGTCACAGAAACACCAACATCACACTGGGAAAAGGGGACCCTGCATGCCCCCCTTACCTTTGAGCCATACTGGCTGAGGCTCTCAAAGCCAACTCGCTTGGCCAGTGAGATGCAGGCGATCCGCCGTGGCTGGGTGCAAGCCACGTGACTGAAGCCAGCAGCCAGCAGGTACTGGGGCACCTGAGTGGACTTGCCACAGCCCGTGTCACCTGCCACCACCACCACCTGGTGTCCCTCCAGTGTCTGCAGGATCCGCTTCCCGTACTGAGCAATGGGCAGTGCCGCCCGCTCCCGCTGCAGTTTGGCCAGGCGCCCAAAGGCCTGCTTCTGGCCAAAGTCCAGGTAGTGCAGCAGGGCCCAGCGGAACTCAGACACACTTTTTGGGGGCAGACGTTGGCCCCGCTCCCGAGATCTCCGCATGTCGGGGCTGAGGACAGAGAGGTTGATGCGGTAACGTGGATCATAAGTGCGGGGCAGGTCGGCCAGGGCTGGGATGCTGTGTTTGGGGGCCTCAGGGTCTTTCTCTTCCTTTCGGTCTGTCTTGAGATTCTGGAACCTCTGCAGGCGCTCAAAGAAGCTCCAGAACTTCTGGCACTCCTCGGAGCCCTGGCGGATATAATCATCATCACGAAAGTAGGCGTCTTCAAAGAGGCGACGTGTTTCTGGAAGATTCCAGTCCCATCTCTCTGGCTCCTCTTCCTCACGGAAAGTCCGATGGTGGTCTCGGTGACCCCTGCCCTCCCTGGTTCGGGGAGGAGGCATCTTGATAAGCACCAACGTGCCACAAATCTGGCCTCGGTTCTGATCACCAGGACCAAATGTTCTCACCCATGCTCCACCTCAGAGCTGGCAGCAAGCAGCCAGGGCCTGCAAGTATGAGCCAACTTTCCTCCTCGCTGATGGAGTGGGTCCACCGCAGGTGACAAAGTGGCCAGGGGTCTGGGTCAAAGTGGTGATGCACGGGGCAGCTCACAACTTCTGAAGTGATCACTGAATGCCTGGGGAGGGAGAATAGGAGTTCATTCATTTTTAGAAATATGTACTCAATGCCCACTTGAGCACTAGGCTGGGGAAAGGGGAAGACTGATGGATAAGATGGGCCACCCTGCATCCTCACACAGTACATGGTCAAATGAGAGATGTAGTCACCTGACCAACCAGACTGACAGGGCTGTAATGAAGGAAGCCCAGAGAGTCATGGGAGATCACAGGAAAGCCCTGATGGTGCTTGGGCAGCAGAGAAGGCACCCTGAAAGAGGGGATGTTTGATGTTTGTCCTAAGGAAAAATGAAGGTGGCCATGTGGCCAATCACCAAAAGAATGTTGTTACAGTAACATGACAAGAGATGTGGTACAGTGAGAAGAGTAAGACCAGGGCTCTTCACCTGGACACTGAGCTACAGGATACCTGGGAACCCTCTGAAATGAAACACAAAACTGGGTAAGTGCTGTGTTATGTACTGCAGTTGTGCTGGTAGAGTGGGTTAGGCATTGAGCTGCTATCCGCAAGGTCACAGGTTCAAACCCACTAGTCACTCTGATAAGACAAAGATGAGGCTGTCTGCTCGTGTAAATATTTAGTCTCGGAAATTCTGCTCACCCCTATGTCGTTAAGTGCCGTCGAGTTGGTTCCCACTCAAACTGTATAGGGTTTCTGAGGAGTGGCTGGTGAGCTTGAACTACTGACCTTGGGCTTCAACCTGACCTTGAAGTCGAGCACATTAATCCACGGCGCCACACCAGAACAAGTCAGAATGCATAATGGCTGTGGGATTTTTGGGTGTTGCTTATGTGATGTTTAAACCAGTCTGACATATCCCTTTTTCCCTGTTACCGGTAACAGTACCCACTTCTCCTTTGGAAGACAGCCCTTCCCTGATTCCACATGGCTCTGATGGCTTGAATGTAAGAGAAGCCCCTACTGATTGGGCAAGCAACAAAAGCCTGGTCAAAGAATCTTTGCTGTTGCCGGCTGTCATCAAGTTGGACCCCAAAACTCACGGCAACCCCATGTACAATAGAACACTGGGGTTCTGTGCCATCTCTGTGAATGGTTGACCACTGTGTTCTCTAGTTTCCATTTCCTCTTCCTCCTTTGTCTTAGTCTGTGATCACGCTCTGATGAAACCTGTTCAGAATCATAGCAACATGCAAACTTCTGATGATGAAGGGGTGTTGTCTGCACATGAGCACTGGCTGTGAAATTAACCCAGCTCTCACACACTGACAGTGAGGATTCTACCACTGAGCCACCACTATTCCTACTCTCCCCTTAGTGATTGGTGGGAAGAGTGGACACATGACCCAACCAGGACCAATCAAGGCTTGTCTCTGGGATTTATACTTGGATACTGAGAGAAGAGCTCTCATTTTATCTATTCTGGCTAGGCAGGATGTGATCAACCTGGAGCTGTCTGCAGTAGCTCTTGCACATAACAATCTTCCCTAAGAATCCATCCTGGAGAGACACTTGCACCTGGGCACAATGAGGCACGTTCATGGATGGTCACTGTGCTAATGGAGGGAGAGAAGCAGAGGACGAGGGAGAGGAGGAGAGCACTATCGTTCAGTGCTTCATGCTTGGTTCCCTCCAACCCTCTTCTCAGGAAAATATCTTCCACTCAAAAAGTGGCATATGGGCCCACCTGGAAGAGTCCTAATAAAGAGCACATCCTTTTATGTGTAATTTTCTGAAAGTCCAAGGAGTGATGATTTTAAAAGCTTTCCGAGTCTTCCTTGGGAAGGGCTTTGGAGTCAGGAAGAGCTGGGTCTGAATCTCAGCTTTGTCATTTACTGGGTGTGGGACCACCAGCAAATTATTTCGAGGCCATTTTCTTCCCCTTTAAAATGGGGACGACAGCCATCTCAAAAGGATCCCTGGTAGCACAGTGGATTATGAGTTGGCTGTTAACCACAAGGTCAGCAGTTCAAATCTACCAGTTGCTTGTGGGAGAAATACAAGGCTTTCGGATCTCATAATATTTAAACTCAGGCCACAATTCAACTTCACGATGGTACTAAAACCAAACCTACTGCCATCAATTCCAACTTACGGCAATCCCAGGGGCTAGCTAAAACGGCTCCACAGGGTTTTTTTGACTGCCATCTTTATGGAAGCCAATTGCCAAACTTTTCTTACATAGTGCTACTGGATGAGGTCAAATTGTCAACCTTTAGGTTAGCTGCTGATTGCAAACCATTTGCATCAAGCAGGAACCTATACTGCCTCCTATCTCTAAAGCATCATCATGAAGAGAGTTCAGAGTTAGGGTTTTATATGAGGGAGAACTTCCGGACTGGCCGAGTTGTTTCCCACGGACAGCCTGCCCGTCTGGAATGTGTACTGTTTACTTCTTGGTCCACACCTGGGTTGGGTATGGGGCTGCTTCAGGGGGAATTCCTGCTACTAAGAAGGAAGAGCCTTGGAGGGCAACTGACGATTCTCAGAAAGACAAGGGCAATGAAAATAAAAGCACTTCTCAGGCTGCAAGCCCAGCTGAGGATCCCTCAGCACCTCCAGGAGGAGTCTTTGGCTACTGTTTAGATCTTCTGGGTTTACTAGTTTCTCTTTAACCGTGCCTCTGACCATCTCTTGGTCTCTTACCCTACTTCTATTGAGCTTGTAATCTTGATGAGTTTTCTGTTTCCCTCTCTCTTCTGACTCTTCAGTTTCAGGTCTCGGTGTCTTGTGTTTTTCGGTCTAGATGGCCCACTACCCTCATCTCTCTTCCATTTCCTGGTCTGCTTTCCATCTCTATTCACCTTACGATTCTTTCCAACTCCAGTCCTAATTTTTAATCAATGACTTTTAAATCCAACTGTTTGTCTCTGTCTGTTTCTTCACATGACCCTCTCAAACCCTCTTCAGTTCTCCATTTGTCTATCTCATTTTCTGACTCTTCATTGCTAGTTCTTCAGTTCTAACTTTTCACTGTGGTCTCCTGATTCTCCTTCTCTCTCAAATTTCTCCATCTAATATTGTATCTCACTCAATTGTTTAAAGTCTTAATAACAACATTTAGTTCTTATGCATGCGTGATGTACTATTCTAAATCATACACACATCTACAGATCCTCTTCTCAAAACAACCCTAAGAAAAGTGCTATCATCACTCCCTACTTTACAGATGAGAACACTGAGCCACAAAGGGGTTAAATAAGCAGCAAGTCATAGAGCCAAAACCAACTGCCATGAGTCCACTCTGACTCATACTAATTCTATTGGACCAGGTAGCACTGTCCCACAGGGTTTCCAAGGCTGCCAACCTTTATGGTAATAGCCCCATCATTCTCCTGCAGAGTGACTTGATGGCTTCAAACAATAAACCTTTTTTGTTAACAGCCAAGCGCTTTAGCCACCACACCACCAGGACTCCTTAATGACATATCTAGGGGTTCAGGTTCCATTTACCTGACTTTCTCCATTTTTCTGCATTATCCCCATTGTCTGACTTTATTGTTCCATTTAAAAATTTGACATTACCTCTTCAGTGCATTTGATTTCTTCCCTTTCTCCGAAGTCACCATGTCTTCATGGCAGACCAGGAAATGGAAGAGAGATGAGGGTTGTGGGCCATGTCTCCCTTTTCCCATGCTCAAGCGGGTTCTCAGTTCTCTTTTTTCTGCAATTTTTCATTCCACTCACTCTATACTCTTACTGCTTGGCTTTCTCTCCAAGTCTACTTCCCTCAGCTGTTTTTTCTCTTCTCTCCATTTCTCCTCCCAGGTTCTTCCTATTTCACTATCTCCACCTAGCCACATCTCCCTGTTTTTCCCCATGATTTCGTCTCTATGTTCTCCATCGTAACTGTGATGCTTATTAAGTGCCATCCAGTCAGTTCCAACTCAGCAATTCTGTATAGGGTTTCCAAGGACTGGCTGGTGAGTCTGAGACACGGACCTTGCTGGTCAAACCGACCTTGAGGTTGAGTGCTTACTTGATAGCACCACACCAGGAATCCACCTATCATAAATGGGCTCCTTCATTTACCAAACAAACAAAAAACCACGGAAACACTGGCTATGGTTATGTATTTCAGAAGATGAGTGGAAAGTTCATGTTCAGAAGCTGACTGGGTTCCTTCGGGAATGAAAAAGAAGAGGTAAAACATCCGGCAGTTAAATAAAAAATTTGCAAGAGGGAACAATTTGTGGAAAGCAAATGTTATTAGGTGATTTAAGTTGATTTGCAACTCATATAGCAGAGTAGAAAATTGTCCCATAGGAATTTTGGCTATAATCTGAAGAATCCATAATCCATGCCCATGGAAACAACAGTTAAGAAAACAAACAATGTATTACATTGGATAAATCTGTAGTAAAAGACCTCTTTAAAGTGTTAAACAGCAAACATGTCACCTTGAGGTGTGCCTAACCTAACTCATGGTATGTTCAATGGCCTCATATGCTTGTGGCAGCTGGGCAGTGAGTAAGTAAGACCAAAGAATTGATGCACTTGAATTGTGATGCTGATAAAGAACATTGAATATGCCATGAACTACCAGAACAAACAAATCGGCATTGCCAGAATGCTCCTCAGAAATAAGGTTGGCAAGACTTCTCCTGGACTTGGGAAACATTGCGAGGGCCCAGTTCCTGGAGGACATCGGGTTTGGTAGAAGGTCAGTGACTGCAATTGACAGTGACTGCAATAATGGGCTCAAACATGGCAACGACTGAAGGGATAGAGGAGGACCGGGCAGTTTTGGGTTCTGTTGGACATAAGGTCAGAACCAACTCGATGGCATCTAACAACATCTCCT